GCTCAGAGATGTGTATAAGAGACAGTTTATACGCGTGCTATATTTTTACACATTTTATGCTGTTTTATATTAAATGCATATTTTTTACACGCTTAATTTTACAATAATATGTGTTAAGCATGTAAAAAATACGCATTTAACTGTGTAAAACACAGATAAAATGTGTAAAAATATGACACGCGTATAAATGCGTAAAAAGTGGCTACAGATTTACACACTTGGATTTGCAGTGATGATGTAATCTGTACAAAAAATTCAAGTTTTACTTACCAGCTTCGCAGGCGACGTTGTTAGCCCAACGCTTTGCTCTCAATACTGCCGCGTGTTGCTCTTGCTTCCGATACGTTAATTGCCGCACTTCTAATCGGCAGGGCGCACATCTGTCTGCAAAATTTTCATTATTTAATAATTTTCTGTCATTCTACACAAAAATTACATAATTATAAATATACTTTAAAATGCATAATTATAAATTTCATAATTATAAAATTACTATTTCGACAGTTACATTAATTTCGCTTACATTGTATGTAAGACCGCTCGTGAAGCGAATGATCGTTCATGAGGGAATTAATGCTGGTCATATCTGATAGGCAGTGATGCGGGGATAAATGGATGTCCCCGCTGTGTATGCTCTGGCTGGGGCTGCCGCTGCTTCCAGTCATGTCCGACATTTTGACAATAGCGTGCTGTCCCAATAATGCAATAATAATTATTGCAAACAATATAATTAGCAGGATGTAGAAAACAAAAAAAAATCATCGGTTTGCTGTGATACCTGAGCGTTATCTTGAGCGGCAAACATCGTGCGCCATTCCTGATTCATCGTTGCGTACGTGCCAACGGTCTCTGACGTTCTTCGATCCAACCTCTTGAAAGGCGGCAGGGTTAAGTCTCCCTTGGTATCTGGATATAACACGACGACGTGGTGCCTTATCCTGTCCTTCACTGGACTCAGCTCCAGCTTGCCGTCCACGGACTTGATAGCATTCTGCTTCGCGTCCGCGGAATTGCGATACTTGTTGATCTTCATCAAGTGAGGCTTCATAATCAGCAACTGATCCTCAACCGCCTCAGTCATCGATTCCGAACTCAGTCGCCTAAAAAGCTAAAAAAAAAAAAAATCGCCTGTAAATCTTTCTGCGTCTTTTGAAAGCATAATAAACGATTCATTCTAATTCTCTCGGTGTATGCACAATATAAAATAATGTAACGTAATAAAATAATGTAATTAGCATTTTCATTCTGAAATTTTCTTGTAATATATAATTTTTTTTTTAATTCTGAACATTGAATATATTAATTAACCAACGTAATTAACGTTACATACATTTTTTAAGGAGGTACTCATGTCGTTGTATTGTGGCGGTACCACACCCGTTATGGCTTTCGCTCTGGCTATCTGCCTCTGTTCAAGCACTTGGAATAATTCCTCCACATCGTTATATTTTACTACGGAATCGTATACTATTCTGGATATGGGCGGAACAAGTGCCTCGAGCAATAGAATCTCCTTTTCTATCTGGATTAATGAGTGCTTCAGATATGGTTGGAGCATCGTTTGAACTTTACATTGAACATCCACCACATTTAGAGTTCTTGCCGCTGCGGAGATAAAGCCGACGGTTGCATGACGTATCCAAAGATTTGGATGGACCTATAATGATTATGTAAATTAATTACACTAATATGCAAGATGCCTCTAAATTTAAGTCACAGTTTTTCTTTAATAAAAATTTAAAAACCTATTTCCAATTTTTAAAATTTTTATTAAATATCTAAATCGTAATTTTTTTTTCTTTTAATGTTAAATAATATTCTAAAATAAAAAATAATATTCTTTATTAAAATCTTAATAAAAGCCTATGGCTTCGATTCTGCCGATCTGTCAATAAAAAAATATTTGTTCTAAATTTATAAAAGAATTAAAGAATATTAAATATATTATAACTTAAATTACTGTAAATAAAATTATCAAAGATTTGTCAATCACTTATCTATCATGATAACGTACCAAAAAGATCATAGTTTCTGACAATAATTGATAAAGAGCAGATTTATGTAGCAGACCCAATTCTGTAAGTGTTGCCATGGCATTTATGGCCTTTGTGGTTACGAATTCTTCAGGATCGGATAGACCTTGCTGCAGAAGCGGCATTAGTATAGGACTGCTATGCCAACCGACATACGCAGCCACACCGACTATGCATTCAAAAAAAGAGCCTCTCAGTTCCTTATCCTCTTTATCGTTCAAGAATGTGATAACGTGGCTGAGCAAAATATCATTGGCTTTCTGCTTTCCGAAGAACACGCACAATTTGTTTATTCCGTTCTCCATCAACGTTTGTTTCACTAAATTTTGGGGATCCGTTAACAGCATGGACACCGATTGTTGGACCTGAATGAAAGATAAAGAGGCGCATCATTCAACTAATCGACAGTGTTTCAGTTCAAACAACAAACATTTCAGAAAATCGAGTCGTTTTCTCTTTATGAAATTCGAAAGATATCTGTACCATTTCGTGCAAGGTTTGCAATTCGCTGTCGTAACTCGGCTTTGGCCCCTCCTTGTTACCCAAGTTAGACAAATGAGCATTTTCCAAGTAACGCAGAGCGATGTGCGCCAAGTGCGCAATATTCTCCGCATAAGCTGCCCTAACAATAACTGCATCGTCTTGAGTTATGTGCGCTAAACCTGGTAGAATGTACTCAGGGAATATGTTTACGTCCGAAGATGGTATCAATTTCACAAGCTGTAAACACTTCGTTAGAGTGTGTATCGCCGATACTCTCACCCGCGGCGCCGGATCGTGAACTAAATGGAACTAAATAACATTCAAAAAATATATATATAAGCAATAATTAATAATATAAAAAGTATAATTTACTCATTTAAAAAATTCTTCAGTGTTAGCTCAATAAATTTGTGTAAAATGACTTTTACTTTTGTAAAAGTAAAAAAATTAATAAAAATTAATTTGACACTTACGATATAAGGTAATATTCTATCAAGAATCGTCTCGTCAGAAACATTCTCGGCCAGCTCCAATAATATCTCTAAACTGTGCAACTTGGATTGCGAGTAATGCAAGCCTCTTATGCAGGACGTAACGAGTTGAGTTATGATAACGAGTCCTTCTAGAGTTTCACTCAAGGCAGAAATTGACTTGATCTTGGATTCTGCGTCGCACATCGTCTGTTTGCGATCTTCGCAAGACGATTTAATATCTGACTCCGCGTCCACTTGAATATCGCTGCCATCTTGCGCCGTGCTCTTCACGTCAATCTGATTCAAATCGGTCTTATCGGAACTCTGATCGCTGTCGACTTCCACCATTGTATTTTCCTCGCTGTGGCCGGAATCGTCCTTGATCGATTCCACATTACTCTCGCACTGGCCAGATTTCGCGGTTTCCGCAGGTTTTGTCTCGCTTATTTTCATCCGTTCACTTTCCTCCGTTTTCAATATGCTGATAATATTGCCAATGTCCTTCTTCAACCGCGCTACTTTCTCGTCCGGTGATAAAATCGGAGCGGCGGAGAAAATAAGCATGTAAGACTGGAGGAAGGAGTAAAAGTATTCCGGGAAGATGGTGCCGCGAGTTTGAGCCAGATAGATCTCTGCGCTCTTCCTGTACGCCGGATTTCTCTCCAACATTGAACCGAGCAGCTCACGTATTCCTGAATCGTCTATACTGTCCAAGTGCTTGCTCACAGAATATTCGTTGTTTCTATATGCTGAATATATTACCACATTAAAATAAAATTCGCAGTCAAATAAGAAAAAAAAAACAAGAGAACTTAAAAGTGTAATATGCCTACCCAAGAGTTGTGAAAAATCGAACGGTGGATGTCCTTCGTTATACAATTCTGTTAAAGCACAGCCCGCGGAAAAGATGTCCATCATCGGATGCAGATCACCAGTCTTTACTTCTTGTTCCGGTAACAGTAACGTATTGCTCAATTCTGAAGACAGCGTTTTCACAAATCGTTCAGGCGCTATGTAGCATGTTCTGAAAGTATATCAATAGATTATTTCATTAAAATAAAAAAAAGAAAGAAAGAAAGAAAGAAAATGGATTGGGTAAAGATTTTTACCTTCTCCTGGATGTATCAAAAAAATACGAAAAATCTGCAGGATTATCTTCTGGCAAATACGTCGGTTTAAAACTAGCAAAATCTGTGAGCAATACCCAATTCCAACTGGTTATCATAATATTCTCTAATTTTATGTCACCGTGACAAACACCAAACTGTAAACAATATTTACTTAAAAAATTGTAATCAGAAACAATATATTATAGAAAGTATAGATAGAAATTGAGATAAGCCACTTGAGTCAAACTAGATAATTTCTTTGAATTCTCTCTTTGCGGCGTACTACTTTGAACGACTATCCCCTCTTAAATGATTCACAACACTGTCACCGTACCTTGTGGGCTTGATTAAGCGCATACAACACTTGGAAAGTAATCCACTTTTTCTCAATGCTTGTTAAAAATGGCCTAGTGCTGATCCTGTCATAAAGAGAATATTTGACATATTCCCGCATTATTGAGCCTGCTTTTTCTGTGAGCTGATTCAAGTACACAATTAATTCTAGTCGTGCTCAAATAAGCGATACATGTTTCTATAGTGTTTTTCTATGTCACACGATGCTTACGATCATTCGTTGAAACGGTAGGCAGTTGACAGCCGAGGCTAACTTCGACCTGATCTCCTCCAGCTTGTCCTTATAAGTAGATAATGGCAATGTTGGATCGTGAATGGCAAACACTTTTACAACTATCAGGCCCTCCAGGCTGCGGGCCCGGGCGACTTTGAAGAATCTGGTGCTTCCTAAACTGTGGACGACAAGGAACATCGTGAATCAACAACTTGAATAGCCCCTCATGATTTAGTTTGTCGTAAATAATATTTCCAAGATTTTTACAAATATTGTAGACTTCTCTGACACGCACGCACGTCAATCATTGATGCGCTACTTGTAATATTTTTGTCAATACCATGTCCATGAGAGGCATTTAAAAGGAAACGAAACACTGTGCAAACATGTAAACATAATGCGTCTGTCAATATTGTCCAAGTATTGGAAATATCGCGAAATATTAGCAACAGGCTGTTTTTATTGTCGAACACCACCTGAACACGCGGCTTGACAGTACTCTTGACAGTGCTCAGAACTGGCAGAACACGTATACGCACGTAAGGCGTAGTGATTCGCAATTGAGTACTTACTTCACGTCGAATAATAAATCACTGTGATCCGTAAGATAGTGCTCCACCGGAAATATTTGGCTGGGCGCGATGCCCACTAATTGATTGCCCATTTTTGCTGCCAAGACGAGAGTTCAGATAAAAGTGATGCTCTCACTCTCGGCGTCCATCTTTCGCGATTTTTCGTATCTTACAAGCGCAGCGCAGTGCGGCCAACCATTGGTGTTTTCTTACACCACGCGGCCAACCACATCTAGGATCTTTTACGTTCTACGCTCGTCGCTCACCACGTGAAGTTGCAATCGCGGAAATATTCGAAACACGAAATATCGTTGTATCATATATTTCATTGTCTATTTCTACCATATAATTATGACGATTTCTATCAATGTATAATTTTTTTTCTAGTCATAAAAATTAGAAAAAGATTTAAAGTAAATTAAACTGAGATTAAAATTAATCTATTAAAGCAACATTTCTAACAATACATATACAATGATTGTATGTACATACAGTAATTAATTAACCATTTTTGCCTTTTAGTTCAAATGAATTCGTGTAAAAAAATTGGATATTAAGATATTATAAAAGAGTAGGTGGTAAACATCTAAAATGCAAGTTGTATCAATCGTCACGTATATATGATATTGTCGATAATTAATTAATATAGCGGCAAAACGTATAATGTACATACATACATTTGAAACGTGATTAGCACATGACGAAGACATGGATCGAATTTAAGCAACTTAGTATGGCAATATTTTACAAAAAAAAAATGGTTTGTGAAATTTATAAATATTTGTCATATATCAATAAAATCTTCGTATTATATAAAAGGCAAATATTACAATTAATACTACAAATATATATATTACAAATAATATAATATAATATATCGTGACTGAACTTTCGAATTTATGTTTTTCACTTTTCTTAATTCTTTTTTTCTTTACATTGTACATACATCATACATTTTTAAATACATGGAACTTAGGAATTCCATGTGTTTGTGATGATTAATTTCTTTATCGGCTTTGGTTTAATTATAATAAATTTTAAATATTTTTAATTATATATTATACCTATATTTTTTTTATTTCTATTATATGGACAATTTGGATTAATCATAAAATGTAAATTTGAAATCGTTGTGTTTGCTTATTGCAGTACTTACTACTTACAGATTATATCATTTCATCCTTGTATGTTGTTTATCAAATGATCGAGGTGAAATACTGCAGTATGAGTTATCGACGATCTCAGATAACTATACTATTACCATAGGAACGCTATTTACCATATGCACCGAATTCAAGAGTCGATAATATCGGTATCACGTTTTCGTCTCGTGGAAGATCCGCTGTGTGGGTGGCGTGGGTTAGGTACGTTCGCGTGAAAGTCACCTAATGAAACTGTCGTATATCTGCCATATTTCATGGAACAGTAACATTTTGCTACGCGTCACTATGATCGCGCGGATCGCACTTGACGAATCTGTCGTCTTATCTCTCAAAAAACTGTATCCGACGTCGAATTTTCCATCGAATCGACGCCGTAAGACCTGAAAATGTCGAAATTCACCACTGAATCGCGAATTAATCGGAACGCAGCGTTCAACGTACACGATTCTTTCTCGTATTGAAAATTTAGATAGCTCGACGAAGTCGCAGATATTAATCCCTGATTATCGGTTCATGCATAAATTACCTGGCGATGATCCTAGGCTTGCACACGTATCCTGGCATTCCTGGCTGTATTTAGAGCAGAATCCAAAATATCCA